TTTATTTATTTATTTATTTTGTGTGTGGGGTGTGTGTGTGTGTGTGTGGCCAGCTCAGCCCACCAGGGGGGCGACCCTGGCTGGCATGTGGTGCTGGGGGATTGAACCGCGGTCCCTGTGCTTTGCTAAGTTTGTTCTAAGTAGGTGCTTTAGACCACTGAGCCATCTCACCAGCCCCAAAGGAATCCATTCTTTTTTTTTTTTTTTTTTTTTTTTTTGGAACCCGGGATTGAACTCAGGTCCTTGCGCTTGCCAGGGAAGCGCTTATTCCACTGAGCCATCTCCCCGGCCCCTACATGCCCATTTTAAACCTATAGGAGGTTGAAGCAACTTGTCTCTATCTTGGATTTGATAGACAGTGGCACATAGGGGTTTCACTTGAGGAAGGGGATTTCCGGTACAGGTTCCTTGTCCAGTAACCTCAGACAGGGTGAGTTTATGGTTGTTATCCCAATTACAAGTCGTGCTGGAAGTAAGGGTGGCATAAGACTTATTTATAGCTATTCCTTCATAATGTGGTGAAGCAGACAGGCAGCGCCAACATGACTGGGTAAGATTAGCGTATGATTGAGAGTAGAGTAAGCCCCTAATATGAGGTTATATAATCGGTTATCAGGGACTGAGAGGGAGGAGGTGGTGGGAACCAGGGGACCGATGTAGTTGTGGGAAGGTTGGTTGAACCTTAAGGGGGAGGTAGGCTCAGTTGGGGAGGAGGTTTTTCTTTGATTAAGGCGGGGTTGGGACCAACTCCGATAGCTTTTTGTGGAATCAGAGTTCTTTGTATAAGGATTAGGCCCCCAGGTTGTAAGTTATACAGTTTGACTCCCCAAGTAGGCCAAGTAGACCACCTTGGGTCTGTGTGGCCTAAAGCCTTGAGGACAACTTGGCATTGGGACTTATCCGACTCGGGCATCCAGTTGGAGTCCACTTTACGTCCAGGTTGGGATCAGGAGTGGTCACGGGCCATTTGCTTGCTACAGTTCACATCCTCAGTGGGCACAATAGTGTTGACCAGGGCTATTACAACATGGCTTGTCTGGATTGGAAGCAGGACACATATAAATATGGTGTCCTTTACAATTGGAGCGTGCCAACGAGGGCACCAAGTCACAGGGAGATATCTGAAAGGAAGGTTCTCCTGTCCCTTCCCATGCCCGTAATAATTTTTTATCTTCCCACCTAGATAGTGTCCATCTCCATGGTTTGTGAGGGTTGGAGTTATCACCCCTAATTGGACGCAGGGTTAGTAACCCTACGAATCCAAACTTTAAGAGGGTTATCAACCT